ATTTAAAAATAAAATCAAAATAAATTAAATTTTTAAAATAAATAATAAAACGATATTATTGAAACAGAAAAAGAACTCTCATTCTATTTTATATAATTTTAAAATATTATATATAAAAAATATCAAATACAATCTTATTAACCATAAGAAGTATCACTTTGTTATATAAATTGCTTTTAGCTTAAAGAAAACGAATAAAGGTGAAAGCGTGGTTCTATTATTCGGGCATAATTTAAAAAAGGTCCAATTTATTAACAACTTTTTTCTTTTTTTCAATCCTATCATTATTTATTTATTGTCCCCTTAAAAGGTGTTGGAATTTTCCTTAAAGTTTTATGATGAGTCCTTATTCATATTTTACTATTCTCAAATATTACTAACATTTAATTTAACGATTTCCAAATAAATAACAAAAAAATATACACAGTATCGTCAATTTATAGTATCTCAGAATATAAAAATTTATATATACATGAGTTGACTTATACTTGTATGAGATTCAAGTTACAGAATATGTAATTATTTATTTATTTATTTATATTAATTTTAGCTCGTGTGCAATTTTAATATTTTACTCGTTTCTATCAACTTTTTATAATTTCTTAACTGTCAAAATTAATCCCTTCACTCCAAAATTTATTCAATAATTAATGAAAAATATCTGATGTTGATTTATTAGATTTATAATAAAAAGAAGTATACAATATTAAATAAAATTAAAAAAATTGTTTTTATTTTTATTTAAATAGAATATATATATATATATATATATATATATCATTTCTTTACCGGTTTATAAAAATTATTCACCAGTTTATACAAATTATTCACGAAGTTCCCTATTTATTAAATGAATTTCGATATAAAAAAATTAATTTAACAATTATATAATAATACACATAAATTAAAGTCTAGTTATTTCTATTTTTAAATAGATCATACCCTCCATAAATTTTTAATTTACAATTTTTTTTTCCATTTAGTTTAGTTTCCTTTAAAAAAAACTTAAATTTTTTTTATCTAAACTTAGACTTTATGCTACATGTATTTAAATATAATTAATTACTTTTATTTTAAATAAATAACTTAAGTAGATGAAGTGATATTTATTTTGATAATTCACAATTAATTAATTAATAACAGTGACTTTCATATGTCTCATTATTTTGATATATATATATATATATATATATATATATATTATAAAAAACATTGATGCAAAAAAAATGTAGGTGTTGTTTTTTTATATATAATAAAATTTGAATTCAAACATAAACTCTAAATTTTAAAATATAAAAGTTGTGCTATATTTATTATAAAAAGGGAAAGGCTGCAGCATTATTTAGTCCTCCAACCTTTGAGGAGGGAGTGTCCCTTGTTTCCTTCCTTGCATTGCAAGTGTTGGACAGTGCACAGAAGCATCAAACTTTTTGTTAAAAAAAAAAAGGCACAATATATATTATAAGATATAGGAAATTATTTTTTATTTTAAAAAATATAAAATATGAATTTATTCTGTTACATATTTTTTCAAATAATTTATTATTAATTTTATTTTAATAAATTTTAAAGAATTTATCATAATATATACATAAATATTTTTTAAAATTAATATTTTACTTAAATATTTTTTCAAGTAATTTTCAATGGAGATGAGATTTTTACATTCGCCACTATCTTTAATAATTTTCAATTCATGTAATATTATTTTTATTTGTTTGATAGAGTGGTGATTTTTTTTCATTAATTTAAAAATCAAAATAATATATTAATATAAATATCAACAAATATAAAATATAATTATAAACATATAAATAAATATATTTAATAATCTCAGATTCAAAATCATAAATTAATATAGAACTTATAAAAACTCCGAAAATTGTTTGGGACAAAGTATAGAGTAACCTGTTCTCATTGTTACCCCCAAACACTAAAACACTTTTAAGGCTATTTGTTTTAATTAATAAGGTGTGTGTTGAGGCCATTTCTGTTTATTTTTTATTGTTAATGACAGCCTGTCATCCCAAGTTTCAAGAGACATGGATGTTGCTTCCTTGACATTGTCTATATACATCACGTAAAGTTTTCATATTTTTCTTTCTTTATGCTTTCCAACTTACTACTTAATAATTTGTCTCATAATAAAAATAATATTTTATTATAAATATTATGTATAAATTGTTTAAAAATTTATTAAAATTATTTATATCACTTTAAATAATTAATAAAATATTTATTTTTATTCTTATTAATTTTCTGTAGAAATTTATTAAAAGGTTAGTTTCTTTAAAAGAAAATTATTTAAAATTATAATAAATATCAAAATAAGTAATTAGGTTTTAATAAATAATCTGTACTTTAAAAATGAAATAATATAGATTACGAAAACTTATAACTAGTTTTTGTCTCCTTTTTACTATTATTTTGAATGAATTTAGTTGTGAATCTTTTTAAAAGTTTAAAGTAAAATGAAATCTTTAAAGTTTATTATAAATATATATATATATATATATATATATATATATGATTTTAAATATTTTATTTTTAAAAAATATTATAATAGAGAGAAAGAGAAATATTGAGTAGAGAATTATTTTTTGTATAAGAGTTAAAAAAAGAGTAAATATTATTTAGGTGACTAAAAATAAAAATTGGTACACTTCAAAATTCAAAATATATTTAAATCTTTATTTTATTTCAGTATTTTTTTTATGATTGGAGAAAAACTTTTTATATAAAATTATTATATGATAAGTTGTTTTATAATTAATTTCTAAAATTTAAAAAATGTCACTAAAATTAAATATAATTAACATTAATAAATAATATAGGAATATTAAAAAAAAAATTTGAGCTCTTCCCGGTTTTTTTTTTGTTTATCAAACTCTGCTGCTAAATGTACACAAATTTAATAAATTAGACCCGATAAATTTTAAGGATGCGTTTAAGTTATATTGTGGGACGGTTTCAATTCAATTTCATGTCCTAACAAAGGTATTAATAATATATTCTTAAAAAGTGTAAATTTTGAAATAATTATATATGAATAATATTTTGTTTGGCTAATGAAAAATATTTCATATAACATGATATTATATTTATATTAATATTATATATATATATATATATATATATTAAATTATGCCTTAATTATATTTGTATTTATTTATTTATTTATTTTATTATTTAACTATATATAATGTTAAAATTAATGATAAGGATTTCGTATAAAAACATGCTTAGTATCCCAAAATACGATCAAAACATTCATCCATCCCTTAAGAACGTGACCAAAATTATATTTCCTTACCTAATCTTCGTTAAGAAAAAAAACTCTTTTCAGAATTTGTCTTATCTGGGAACAAGTTTAAATAATTTCGGAAGTATAACTTTATATCTTATTATTTTTCATTATTTGCTTAATATTTAAAAAAAATATTTTAGAATAATGAATTGTCCAATATATAAATTTAGTTATACACTGTACTACTTAATTATCACTATATTTCAAATTTATTACCCAATTATTTTTTACATATTTAGTATAATTTTTTTTTCACTTTTAGCATAACATTGGTAATTAAAATGATATGATGTCGTTTTGGGGAAAAAGTTATGAGAAAAAATGACATCATTATGTAAAGATTTTACTATATAGCTAATGGTCAAGTGCAAAAAGTTGGAAGTAAAATATGGTAGATGACAAATAGTAAAATACATAATGAAGTGTAATGTAAATAAATAGTTTATACAGTTATTTATTCTATTAAAATGGTCAATGATAAATTTATTGAATATCAAGTAACCAAATGCTAAATGAAGAACCCATGAGAGGATAGAGCAAGAGTCTGTTATCATGTAGATTTTCATCAACTGAAAACCAAATGAAATCTGAAGGTGCAGGGAAGATTATTGCAGTTCTCAGAATTCCAAGTAATGCAAAAATCAGCAAATGAAAATGAAGGATGTGGATGTAGACATGGTTCTACAATGATTGTGGGGTCCCCACCATTGCACCTCTAGTTTGTTAGATTCAGACCACAAAACAAGTGAATATATAGTATAGCATATGGCCCATGACACCATGTTTTATTTGTTTGTTATCTTTGGTTAATACTCAACAACTTATGATGTTCCATGGTTATAGGCTAGTATGTCTTACCCAAAAAGTCTCCAAATTTCACCAGTATCCATTATCTGTGAAGAGTTTAATTAGAAACCATAAAAGCTTGGTTGGATGTGGTGTCTGCATTTGAGCTTTATCTGAAACAATATATTGTGTTCGTAGAACTTCGTTCTTTTCTTCAGAACAATTCATTTCCCTCCTACTTTTATCTCAGAAGAACCTTTCTTATTACCTACCCTTTTCCTCTGGCACCCCATTATTGCTATTTGGTTCAGTGGGAAAGAGCACCATGTGGAAGCAGTAAATGCATTAACTTCAGGTACCCCACTTTCGTATCTCGGATTCTGCGCTAAGATCACAGCTTGATTTTTCTTTTGTTCAATATTAATTTACATCTTAGATATCCCCTATGTAAGAGAGAGCTTTGCACAGATGTTATTAATGTTGCTCTTTTTCTTTAGCGTCATACTACTTTTCCTTCCTTCATTATCATAGCCAGTGTTTACTTGCGTCAACCGGTTCTTAATCTCTACCACATTCTGTTCCTTAGTGTTTGCACAACTAACTCTGCTTAACGATTCAAATTGCCAGAGATATTTAAGCTCATGAGGGACAAGTCAATTTTAATGTCTGTGCAAGTCCTCTTCATTTTACTGTTCTTTCTACTTTTTTATGAGGTGGTCTTTGTTTCAAGTTTCCAATTATAACGGGACTTCTTTTACATTTATTTGACACAGGTTTTCCATTGGATTCTTTATATCAGCAAGTTCCTCCTTGCTCCTTGAAGCAGTCTCAATAGAAGAGTAGAACTTTCCTCATGGGGTTTCATGAATTTGTTTTGCTATTATGTTCAGTTTGGTGTGTCTTTTTTATGGGTAGTTGCAGTGCTCAGTTGCAGTCCTCTCAGACCCAAGTGCTTCTGCAGTTGAAAAAGCACTTGGAGTACCCAAGACAATTGGAAATATGGAGAGATCGTTGGACAGATCTTTGCTCCTTTTCTTCTTCTGGGCAAGTGAATGTCACATGCAAGGACAATTTTGTCACTGAGCTCTCCATCTTGGGTGATAAGCCAACCAAGGGTAGAGATTTTGATGGATTTGCCATTCCAAATCAAACACTATCAGGTAGCTTCTCCATGGACTCTTTTTTAGCTACTCTGGCAAGGTTAACTAGCCTGAGAGTCCTTAGTCTTGTCTCTTTGGGCGTGTGGGGACCGCTTCCTGATAGAATTCACAGACTCTATGCACTTGAACATTTGGACTTGAGTTCCAATTATCTTTATGGATCAATCCCTCCAAAGATTTGCACAATGGTGAACCTTCAAACTCTTGGATTGGGTGATAACTTCTTCAATGGTACCATCCCAGACTTGTTCAATTCATCAAGCAATCTCTCAGTTCTTAGTTTGAGGAATAACAGGTTGAAGGGTCCATTTCCACCTTCAATCCTTAGTGTCCCCACTTTAAAAGTCATTGACATGTCAAGCAATCAACTATCAGGGTTCTTGCAAGATTTTAGTGTTTTGAGTAGCTTGGAACAGCTAGATTTAAGAGAAAACAGATTAGAGTCTTCCCTGTCTGCAATGCCAAAGGGGTTGATTAGTCTGTTCCTCAGCAGAAATTCCTTCTCAGGTGAAATTCCCAAGCGCTATGGTCAACTTAACATGCTTCAGAAGCTTGATGTTTCCTTCAACGCACTCACAGGCACTGCTCCTGCTGAACTTTTTTCTTTGCCAAACATTAGTTACTTGAATTTGGCATCCAACATGTTAAATGGACCACTGCAGACTCACCTAAGATGTAGCAACCAACTTTTTTTTGTTGACATATCTTACAATAGGTTAGTGGGGGACTTGCCTTCTTCACTGAGCACTAAATCAGAAAATAGAGTTGTTAAGAGTGATGGAAACTGTTTATCTGGGAGTGTGCAGCATCAGCATGCAGTATCCTACTGCACAGAAGCTCATGCGAAGAAGAAATCATACAGAATTGGAATTTTTGTTGGGGTCATTGTAGGAATTCTTTTAATCTCTGTGGTTTTGGCTATGACCATTGTTATAACTTGTAAGAAGTTTTTCCATCGAGGAGTTTCAGAGCAGCACCTATTGCATAAAACAGTTCAAGATAGCAGCAATTCAGCAGGGTTCTCCTCTGAGCTTGTCACAAATGCAAGTACGTTCTCTCACTCAAAAGTGGACCAAAACATGGTTTTAAATTGCGTTCACAATCGCAGTTTTGTCACGATCCTTAATATTCTACGAAAGTGTAGAGAAATGCAGCTGATGCAGATGCAATTGTGGTTGCATTACGATTGAAAACTGCTTTTCAAAACCTTAAGAGATTAAAATATGGATATACTATTGTGCATATATGAATAATCGAGGGACATATACATTGACTTCATATTTTTGTTTTCCCTTTGGCATTACTATTTTCAGGGTATATTTCTGAAGCTGCAAAGTTAGGCAGAGAGGACCTCCCCACATGTAGGTCATATTCTTTGGAAGAGCTAAAGGAAGCCACAAATAGCTTTGACAACTCTACTTTCATGGGTGAAAATATATATGGGAAGGTAATGTCCGAAAATTGTCCTATTTTCAAAACAGGAAAGACTTTGTTTAAGTTTGTTGGTAGTTGAGGCTTAGTTGAATGAGGCAGTTGGGTTTTAATATTTGAACAACAACGTAACTATGTTGATCTATGTTTTGTAATTATCATATGAGATACTCGCAAAATTTCGCGCAATATTGCAGCTTTATAGAGGAAAACTGGAGAGTGGGATGCAGATTGTAATAAGGTCCATGCCTTTGTCAAAAAAGTATTCAATTAGGAATTTCAAACTGCGGTTGGATTTGCTTGCAAAGCTCCGTCACCCTCATTTGGTATCCCTCCTGGGTCACTGCATTGATGGTGTTGTAGGAGAGAATAGTGAGACAAATGTCTTCCTCATTTATGAATATGTGCCAAATGGGACTTTTCAAAGATATCTCCCTGGTAAGAGTGTAATGTTTCTTTCACTTCATAAATGGTTTCTAAAATCCCAAGTTATTTGAAGTAGTATCATCATCATATAATCATCTAAAAGCAGAACAGTAGTCATATAAGCTGCTATTCAGTTACATGAAGGAACTTCTAATTCTTGAATCCACACATTCTTGTCTTAAAATATGTAACTCTCAAACTCTTCATTAGTCAATACTAGAACTAACCTCTGTGTGGTATGTTTAACCTGCCATGTCTGGAACATTACTTCTTTCCATAATTTAAAAAAAAGGTGACTGATTATCGAAGTAAGAGCCATAAACAATACATTAAAGTAATGGTTTTCACATGGATGCCATTATTCTGACAAGTAAATGCAGAAGTTTAAAAGAAATATGAAAATATCCTCCTTTTGTTGTAGTAGAGTGCAGTGGATGTCTGATGTGAAGTGGGGTTTAATATTATGGCTTTCTTTTATTGTGTTCAGTCAATGCCATGTGGTGCTTGTGCTAAGCGGATAATAGCATCTTGGAATATTAAAATTGCTTTGGAATCCATTCAAAGAGTGAAACAAACTTGAGTAGGCAGCAGTTTTCCAACTTGCATCCAGACCCTTAAATTGAAATATAATAATATACATAAGAAAGTTGAAAGAAAATGTCTGGTCCCCACCAATTAGTTTGTGAAGCTGTTTGTATTGAGACTAAATTTAAATGTGACAAATTGCATGTTCAGGAGATATTCCTGGCAAGGTTTTCAATTGGTCAGAGAGATTGGCAGTACTAATTAACATTGCTAAGGCTGTGCACTTCCTACACACTGGCATGATACCTGGTTTCTTCAAAAATCGACTTAAGACAGACAATATCTTGCTGGATGAGAATTGGATGGCAAAGTTGAGTGACTATGGATTGTCCATTATATCAGAAGAAACTGATGCATGTGGGGTATGATTTCATTCCCTTTTTTTTTTTACCTTTTGTTTATCATCATTAGTGTTTATGTCTTGTTTTTTTTCTATTTTGAAGGTAAAAGGAGAAAGTCCAAATTCATGGTAAGGATTTTCACATATCATAAGGCTTTGTTTCTTTTTCTTTTGATAATTTTTCTAGATCCAATGTCCTCTCTCTCAACATTCTTGGTACACAACAATTCGGATAACTTATGATACATTTAGCAGAATTTCATTATTAAATGACAATATTATTTTTGTGTATACTTCCTTGAGGTTTATTCGTTTCATGATTTTCTCAACATAAGTAATTTCAGGCAAATGAAAATGTTAGAGGATGATGTTTATAGCTTTGGATTCATACTACTGGAAGCACTTGTTGGACCTTCTGTATCAGCTAAAACAGAAGCAATTGTGCTGAATGCAATGGTATGCACAAAAGTCGTTCAGATTACATAATATCTTCCAATTACAAGACATAGTGAGATGCATATCCTTTCTTCTTGTTGATGCACTACAATACCATCACTGCAAGTCTTACATAATCGCTTATTTTTCAAAAGCTTTCTAACTGAATTGATAAGCGATTACACGTTCAAAATAACTAAACCAAACCTGCACCAAGACTTTCTGTCAATCTTTGCAAGAATGTCTGCATCTACATGTAAACTGTAGGTTAATTAGTACCAGTTCAAGTCTTAGACATAGTTTTGTGATGATGTAAGATGTTCATGCTTCTATTGGGTCATCATCTATCATGCATCCCTCAAAAATTTTATATATAATTTTTTACCAAGGTAGTTAATTTAGCACACTCCATTTTACAGGCAACTTTCAATACTCAGGATGGCTGGAAAAAGATTGTGGACCCAGTTGTGCAAGCTACTTGCTCAAAAGAATCACTTTTTGTTGTGATTTCCACAGCAAATAAATGTATATCTCCTGAGTCATGGAACCGACCATCCATTGAGGAAGTCCTTTGGAACCTTCAGTATGCTTCTCAAATTCAGGCAAAAGCTGATGGGGATCAGAGAATTTGATACTCCAACTACCCTAAAAAAAGTGACATTGACTTATCCAGTTTTGCTTCAACTTCCTCCAAAAGATAACTCTTTTAACATTTCATCTTTTGGATTTCTTACAAGGATAGGAAAGAATCGGCTCCATAGCCCAATTCTGTCAGGTTTTATCTACCAAGTACTTTGATCTGTATATTATTATTATTATTGTTATTATAAGGTTATTATAATCTCTAAACTAAACTCTTTGTGAACAAACTTATGCATCCTCACCACTTAGTACAATTTTATCACACCTCCTCAAAGAAATTTTTCATCATCTCTCAATTTGAGGAAGATTTTTCCATTACAATCCCTCGCGAAAGATTTTTTTTTCATGTCAATCTAATTCAGTAACTAATATAGAGCGCGAATTCCACGTTTAAACTCAAATTCTCTTCACTTTTTCCCAGTCTATCGTCGTCTTTGGTTACACTCATGACCACGGCTAGTCAAAGAGATATGAATGGGCTGACTCATATAATTGCAAAATCCACTTGATTGTGCAATCTAAAAGTATATTATTTAAACTTTCAGATCCAATTATCCGAAAGATTTTCGGATTATTAAATCCAAAACCTTAATAAATATTACTTTGATATAATTTAATTTGTTTAATCCATAACTCAAAAAAAAAAAAAAAAAATTCCGGATCAATTCTGATTTTTTTCGAAATTAACAATTTCAAACACTCCAAAACACTGAAATATATAAGGTTAATATTCTCTTTAGAATATATACGAGGGTGTACGATGAAACTATGGGGTGCAAGAAGAACGAGTCAATTCTAAATATGAATTTTTCTTTTTTTCCTTGTCATGGTTCAAGTTAACAGATCCCTTAAAAAATACAATGATGATAAAATGATAATTAATTTTTAATCATTATTTTCATTATTCTCACTTTTTAAATATTAAAACGTTACTATATATAGAGAGACTTGGAGGTAATGTATAAAAGACATAATTATTACGTTTGAAGTAAAATAAAGATGTAATATTTTTTATTAATTGAAAAAATATTAATAATAATTATGACAAAATATTTTAGTTAATTAGCTTTTAGAAAAATTAGTCACTCTAAATAGACCTCTCATTTAGTTATCATTAAATTATAAAATTTTAATAATCACTTTTAAATGGATATTTTATTTAATTATGATAAAATACTTATTTTAAAATATTTGAATCTTAACAAAAATGATAAATAATTTAAATATTAAAGATATTAAACTTTAGTAATAATTATTTGATATGTAATTTCAATTTAATTATTACTTTAAGAAAATAATTCTAAGATATAATTCTAATTTAGTTATTATATAACTATAAAAAAATGTTAAAAACATATTGGATTCAATTCTAATTTGATTATTTAAAAGTTCTTTCAAATCAAAATTATCAAATTAAAAATATTAAAATTTGTTATTTATAAATATTAAAAAATATATATTGTCTCAATTCTTTATTATATATAAGACTATTAAAATAGGTGGTTTAGCATGACCTGTCCCTGTAAGTCAAGGAATTTTTTTTTTATGATCCAACTTTACTTATGTTTATGTTTTTAAATGACTCATAATTCTAACATGACTTTATATTAGATCAACAAGTTAATGAACTAATTTTGGTTTAATTAAAAAAAACATACAAATAAAAAGATAAATTTTAAATTATATTAATAAAATTAATTTTTATTTCAAATATAATGACTTAATATATAAATTATAAGAAAAAAGATGTATTTAGTCCCAAAATAAAAGTTAAAAACTCACACTTTATTATCATAATCCATTCTTTAAGTGATTTATTGATCTAAAGTAAAAAGTCATTCTAATTATTAGACCATGAAATAAGTGGACGTTAGAGTCTTATATTTACTCTTGAAATAAGTAGATATCTTATCAAATTATATATATATATATATATATATATATATATATATATATATATATATATATATATATATATATTACGATGATAAAATGGGTCAATCCATCTCATATTTGGCTCGCAAAAAATGGGGTGGGACCAGCTAACTCGCTATAGTTATGACGAGCTATAAACTCTAACTCTTCCCGCCATAATTTTTTTAATTAATTTATTTGTTTCTTTTAAATCAAATTTTTTAATATGTTTAATAATAAGATTATTATTTATTTATTAACAATTCAAGTTAATAATATAAATTATCATATTAGAATAATAAATAATAACAAATATATGTATGTAACGTCAAAATTTGTAAAATCTCTGTCTTTTATATTAACAAATTCAAACACCTAAAACAATAATTATATTATATTTTTTATTTGATAAAATTTCATGTTGTTCTCCCCTTGAGTATTTCTCACACCTTTAATTCAAGTAGAGGGATAAGAACCATCAATGCTTGGATAATTAGATGCAGGCTTAGAATATCCCTCCATTTTTTCATCTTTATTATTCTCTTCCTCATTTTTAATATCACACAAAATTGAAGTTCCCTCCATATAAAGTTTATATATTACTTTTGCGACTGATGGTAATACAATAAAATATTCTTTTATCAGACAAGTAGGCCGTAGGCTTGCCCGCCTTGTTCCGTGGGTTGGTCCGGCAGGTTGGTGGACTTGGTGAGGCAAGGTAGAACGGGTTGGCGGGTTAAAAGTATCAACATGCCCTGTCATATTTATGACGAGCTGGGTGAGTATGCCGTTTTGTCATTCCTAATATATATATATATATATATATATATATATATATATATATATATATTAATAAAATAATATTATTTTTATTTTTGTTTAAAAAATAGTTAATATTCTATAAAATTGGTTCGGTCCATAAGCTAATAGGCTATCCCGACCTAAGCTCATGTAGATCATAACTTAAATAGGTCTGGATAAAAATAGGTATTCATTAATTTAAGTCACAATTTTTTTTACCTAACCTAACATATTTCTTAAATCTTTCGCGATGACCTTGTCTACTTTGATACCCCTAACTATACTAAAAACATTAAACATATATTATCTTTATTTTAATAATAACAATATTTAATTTTAAAATTATATATTCAATATATAATAAAATATTATTTCAGTTAATTTTTATAAGAACCCGTATTTTAAGTAATTAATCATTATGTGTGATATTTTATAAAAGATAATTTAATTTTAATTATTAATAATATTAGTTTATATAAAGAGATGTTCAATGTGATGTATATAGTTTATATGAGTGATAATGTTAATAAAATAATTTGAGCTGATTTTAGACTTTTTAACTAAGTCAAACACAAATAAAAATTTTAATATTTGATTATTTTTGTAAAATATCATATGTCATCTCATTTGTTCCTTTTAAACTTCTTAGTCTTCTCTTCATACTATAACATTATTTTCTTCTTCATCTATTCTTTTTATGTTTCTCACCATAGCTAAAAGATAAAAATAAAATCTCCATGTTATTTTTTATAAGTCATCTCTTTTTTCTTTAATTTTTGTTTTATTCTTTCATAATATACATCAACTAGAGTTAGTGGGAGAAAATGAGTTACAATAGTTTAAGTTTAATTTAGAATATTTTATAATTAGGTTTGACTTCGAAAGTGATTTAGAAGTTTTTTGAGTATCATTGACTCATCTTCTTTACAAATTTTATATATCTAAATGGATAAAGAAAATTAAAGTAAAGGAAGTTATCTCTCTGCCCTTTTTTTTTTAATGGTGAGAATTAATAGAATTTTAATTCATAAATGGTAAGTGTTTGTAAAATACCTCAAGAAGAAAATTTATTAATGAGAAAAATGAATAATTGCACATAATCATACAATACAAAGATGAAACATATAAATGCATATCTTGAACAATATTGAAACCACTACAACTCACAAGTTAATGAGGTTAAGTTCCTATATTCAACCTCATAAGAAGGACTTGGATACAATTTGTTTCTTCTATTTCCATGCAACCAATTGAAAGCAATGAGAGGGAGATTGATGACAATGTGAAATATGTCTCTACATTCCCAAGAGATTATTTTGATGACGATTCAAGTCAACAACATTCAAGACTCAAGCAAACCCAAGATATGATTTTGATAAAGATTTAATTCAAACATCAAGCAAGCCCAAGATGATTCCTGAAGACTAGATAGAGTCTTAGAATACTGTATATGAAGGTACAAGTTGATGAAATAATATTATACATAAGCCTCAAAAGTACAAGTGTGATAAAATTTCGTAACATAATATTTTTCACTGTCATATGCATCAGCAATGGAAAAATTATTTTCTCTGTCATAATTAATTATACTGGTAACATAATCAATTATGACAGTTAAAATTTGAAAAATATCCGTTTTGAAGAATAAATATTTTTGAATACATCCTGATTTTTTCTCTACGAAAGTATTAATGATCAAAGACTATTTTTTTATGCTATTTTTCTATTTAATTAAGTTTTGATGGAAAATAAAAAAACACACAATTACAGAATTCGAAAATACAATTTAAATTTAATTAGTTTTAAGAAAAGAATTTTGAGCAAGAAAACAAAGCACTTTTAGGTTTTCTAAGAAAAATTTTTTATTCTGCCTTCTGCGCTTTCATTATTAATCACACTGTGTTCTTGGAGGTTATCATTCTACAGACTTCTACAAGTTGTTGTTTCCATTACCCAGGTGTGACTGTTCTTATTTTTATTACCTTCATCATTTGTGGATGACTGTTCTTATCTTACTCTTTCATCCTTTGTGGGTTTAAGAGATTTAATTTAATCAATTGTGTTATTAATCCTTTGATTTATTCAGAGGAGGTGTTCATTCCCAGTGTGATTCTAGGGAGGTGTTCATCCTTTGTGTATTGGTGGCAAATGAGGTGCTTTTCATTTCTAGTGTGATTCTAGAAAGGTGTTCATCCTTAGTGAGATTCTAAGGAGGTGTTTTCATCCTTTGATTTGTTCAGAGGAGGTGCTCATCCCTAGTACGATTCTAGGGAGG